GTATTTCTGCTTCAACAATTTCGAAACTAAGCAAAGATAACATTGAACATATAGTAGTTGCGGTTATAAAAAATAAGCAGTAACGGTAATTTCATGTGGCCATCAGAATTTTATATTCCGATTTTACTGGTTCACACTTGATTTTTTGTATTACCCATAACTGTATTTGTTATAGAATAAAATTATCTAATCATAGAAATTCAGAATGCAGGAGTTTTGACTTTACAAGGCTTATGCATAGTTTATTGTGAGACGGGGCACAGGCATATAGTGCCACATATTGTATAGCAGAGCCAGTGTCTAAGACACATTATAAAAAATTTTTGCCACGTTATATTTTTTCTGTTAATATATCACGATGAAAAATCAGAATAGCACGCCTGCGTATAAAGAAAAACAAAATTATTTTGAAAAGTGGCACATCTTTGGAGGTTGGAAGCGTGGATGTAAGGTAGTGAAAGGAATATACAAGCAATGTGAATGTGAAATTTCTCTAAGGAAATCTAGTATACCCTTAAATAATTAAATAAAAAGTTAACGATTTGATAATAATTTAATGATAGTTTAAGCAGAATTTGTGTTTGTGTAATCTTACTGTGACATCGATGTCACACCTCTTCAGGCATAAATAGTAGAGTTTTTATTTTCTGTTTTTTCCATATAATTTGTTCACGAAACAAAGATATTCGTTATGCATAATTTATCTGTATCACTTACCTTACAAGGCTTATGCATAATTTATCTGTATCGTAATACGAGGCACAGGCAAAGTGTCATTTTTCCGAAATAAGTACTCTAGATGCGAGGCATTCCCCATTTCATAAGACAATTTCGGTCAATGAAGTTCATGACATATATTTCTGGAAAGTTAACATGCATATACTCGGCTTTTTTATACATAAAAAAGCATTTTCTTTAAAACTTTGCGTGTATGCTCTCTTGCACATTGCCAAAAACACGAGGTTTCTTGTCTTTTTTTACGTATCTGTGTGAAACTCTCACTCTTTTCCTTCGGTTTAAAAACCTCAATTTTTCGAGGTAAAGGACTTTAACTTTCATCAGAAAATGAGTCAACTTCAAGACCTTTTCGAGTTATATATGAACAAAAATAAATCCAATTTATCTAGCTTATATGTCTTTTATATTTTTTTAGCGATTAAAGGCAGTTTGATGTTTGAGAAAAATGAAGAGCGCGTTATCAATACGTTTTTTAATCAAAATATTACTGTAAGTCCATTTTTTATATTTAAATCGAAAATTATAAATCCAAATATATGATGATATCTATCTTGCGACCCTTAGTAGGGCTTTCGCATTATATGGCAATCTATAACAAATTAATAATTACCTGCTAATATTTCTGATTGACCGGCATATGATGAATTGTTTTTGAGACCCTCGATGTAGGCTTTCACCCTATATGATACTTGCGAGGCTTTCGCATTATATGATTTGACAATATTTCTGACTAGCCAGTAAATGATGAATTGGCATTTTCGCGACCCTCAGTGAGGCTTTCGCATCATCCTCTAAAAATTGTTATAGATTATGTTCTGAGATTCTGAAAATATATGTAATTATTGTATTCTTAATATTACGATATTAAAAATTTATTGTTTATTTCTAGAAACCAGAGGAAGTCTTTTCATCAAAAAATTTTTACTATACAATTAAAAGTTTCTATATTAAAAAGCAATACGTTCGTTATCAACAAATCATTAAGGGATGCGCTGAAGAAAAAAACTTGTTATTTTTTTATGATGATGATGAAAGGGATGAAAATAATGATGATAATGCAAGTGGTAATGAAAATGGAGATGATGATGAAAACGAAAGCGACGGTTATAGTGACTACGTAGAAATTTCAAATGAAAAAAACTTCGACCAGGAAAAAATAAAAACCAAAATTAAATCGGTAAGTATCGTAATATTTTCTTCAGATTTAATATTGAGATGATTTTAATAAATTTATAACACCTTATTATGTTGAATAATAGTTCTACACCAAATACTCCAATATGCCCAACATAGCGAAAGAGATTTGCAAAAATATTCGGAAGGTGGATTTAAAACCGGATGATCTTCTTTCGAGTGGTATTCTGTTCGAAGGATCGTTAAGAACAAATCAAAGCAAACTTTACAACATACTAGAAAAAAAACAGTTAATACGTCAATTAACATCAGACATACCGACAAAAATCGAATTAACTTCTGATAAAAGGTTATTCATAGAAGATTTTATGCTTTATGAAGACGCAAGATTTCCAAAGGTTATAAAATCTGAGGAAAGTTATTTTCACGAACTATTCTCTTTTATGAATGCGGTGTAAGCAATAATTTTTAAGCAGATATTGATTTAGGAATTTAGTATTTAAGTTACTGTGTCGTTACATATTATAAATATAATTTTTTTTGTAGAAAAAAAATTTGGAAGAAATCGTCATACCAAAATCGGGATCCAGCGATCAATGAAAGGACTTATTCACATAATTTTGTGAATAGTTTAATCGAATTTGTTTTTTTAAACACAAATGTCGAAATGCGATGGGACGGTTCACCATGCCAATCGACCAAATTTAGAGATATTAAAGGCGATGGTCCTATTCGATATCCGGACATGTTCTCTTACGTTAGAAATGATTTCTACGATCACAGCTACGAATTTTTTTTTGCTGAGATATCATATGGTCCGTTTTCATTAGATAATGAAGACCACATCGGGGAGGATTTTACTAGGTTGGCAAAGTTCGGAAATGATGCATTAAATCATTTTTATTTTTTTGTAAAGAAATTTCAGGAAAACGAACAAATAATTAAACTATTAGATGACTTAAAAATCATTTTAGTCCATTTTTATGGTAATTATCATTTATATTTACTGCACGTTATATATTACAGTATTACATTAATCATTTTCTATAACTAGATATGAAAATGAACGTCTATATTATGGACCGAAACTGTGGACCGTTTCGAAAAATGGTACCATATCTAACGATCAAGTTACCGATTATAATGTGCGATCTTCGTAAATCGACTGATAATTCTATTAATCTGTGCGAACATTTAAATTTTATAAATAGTCTAAGTATTCAAATAATTAGTATGGTCAATGACATGGTAAAACGAAGACAGTTACTAGAAGAAACAAAAATAAGTGATAATGATACTATAACTTCTGTTTTCACGCCTGAAAGCTGAGAAACGGGCGATTAAGTAAATAATGGTGAAGTAATGACATTTTTTGAATAAATTTTAATAAGATAATTACTATTTCCAAGAATCATTTCAGGGGATGATAAAAAAAATAAAATGATATGCATAATAAAATGTATTTATCGTACTAAAATTTGGAGACATATATACAATTCCTGAATCTGACAATCTCTTTGCTCTTATATTATCTAACCTTTTTTATATTATTCGCTTTACATAATATCATACTCATTAACATGTCCTTGTTGTTAAATGCGCCCTTGATCATTAAGACGGTTAGAAAAAAGTACAACAGTAGATTCTGAATAATTAGTTTCATCCCTGTTTTCGTATCTTTGAATTTTTATCCTATAATTTATTTTTGCATATATAATCGCATTTACTCTTTGCAAATGATATTTCTGAATTTTATTACATTGTACAATACTCGCATATGATCGAAAATTTTTCTTTACAAAGTGATTTATCGTGACGGCCCGTCACGGAAACTTTATAATGTTAATAAAAAACATTTTAAATAATCTACATTTTATATAAAAATGACAAATACACAATCCAAAATCGATGAGTTGAAAACTCGAGACTCTGTCTCTTCATTAGAAGAGCAGAATTCCAAACATATAGCTGAGATCGTGGAATTAAAAAGAGAAAAGGCTGAATTCTTAGCTAAGGAAGCGAGGTCCATGGCTAGAATAATGGAATTGAAACAAACCATAAAGAGAGTGCAGAGAACAAAAAATTACGAGACGTCGAACTCGATGAAGGGAATGCTAAACGAGATGCTGAAATTATAGAGCTTAGATCCAAGATAGCAAAATTAGAATATATTATTGAGGAAAACAGACTCAAAATATCCCGCTCCGAAGAAAATTATAACAATGGTCCCGCTGATAACTCTGAACAAATAGACTTGCAATGCAATGATAATTCAGCACGAATGTGCATGCTTACATCAAATTCTGATATTACTTCTGAACGAATAGAAAATAGTTTCGATATAACATCTGATGATGCTTCGCATCGAACCTCTTGTTCTTCTGATACATACCAGAAAAAGAGCAGCAGATCTTCCACATCTCCTATAGAAACTATATCATCGGAGGAGAAGAAAATCAATGATTTCCTGGATAGAGTACATAAAGAAACGATTAGTGAGAAAATAAGAGAAAAGAACCGGGAAAAGAAGCTAGACTTAACTTCGAGTAATGAGTCTGAGATTCACAACGTTGTCCCTTCAACTGAGATAAAATATCTCAATCTCATAAGAAGAAAGAAACAAATAATATTGTAGGTGATATCACAGCCACTTTAATATCTGGAGATAGCCACATGATCGAAAACTCCGTGACGGCCCGTCACGAAAATCGGATACTACAGTAATACATATGGAACATTCTTTGAACACATTACATAACCTAGCCTGTTTATTTCAAGAAGCATGCGACGCAAAAGAGCTAGCAATTCAAGCAAATCAAAAAGAAATGTTATGTTGGCGTTCCTTTATGATAAAAAGCTCGTTGAAATTAAAAATGAGTATAAAGTTAGCGAGAAGAAGGCAAAGTCCGTGATTTATGACAATCTTATTAAACTTCTTCCTGGAACTAAAAGAGAAAAATTACGCAAAAAAATTCAAAGAGCTAGAAGAATTTATGAATTTTTCGAAAAAATAGGCATAGACAAAATTAAGTATATTAAAACATATAGTGCAAACTCTATCTCTGAATTAACTAACGACAAAATTCAAACCATTATTGATTATTTCTCCAAGAATCCCAATACAGAATTGAGTACTGATCGAGATGAGTTTATCGACAATTCTTCAGATGTTTTGACAGAAGCTGAAGTATGCGAAGAAATTAAGACCTTACCAGAAACAGAGGTAAGTATTACAACCACTCCCTCTGTCCCATTATCTCACATCTTTAATTCGGAAAATGAAATAAGCGAGGAAGATAAATCTTTATCGGAAACCGAGGTAAGTATATCTAATGAAACTCATGATTCCGATTCATCTAAGCTATCCCAAGAAAACAATCCAGAAATCAAATCATTTAATCCAACCCATACCTGTGCTAATTTCCGCAACAAAATATTGGAGCAATATCCTGATATATATTATGAATTTAGTAGTGAAAATGTTGATTATTACGGAATTACTGCCGAGACATTAGCAATTTAGATCATGATGATGAGGAAGACTTAGAAGGTAAACATGAAATTGGATCATACTATATTAAATGTAAACAGCGCGAAATTCAAATTACTGTATAAATCCCGCCAATTTATTACTCTCATTGTCAGTGGAGTGTATATAGTATTGCAGTTAATGTACACTCGGAGACGCATTAAAAAACTCATCAACTGTACACATCTGGACACGAACTTGTGAGTGGTCAGGAAATAATATTTTTTAGTATGTGATATCTAATGAGAGATTTCATTATATCTATTATATAATTCTTTAACAATTTCACTAAAAGAGTAATCATTTTTTAAATCTAAATGATTAAAATCGTCAATTATTTTGATAATCTTGTTTGATAAATTGATAATTTTATTTGGATGTTCTGCAGTTAAATTATTTGACATTTTAAATTGCTTTGGAATTACTTAAATAACAACATGGATACACAAGTCAAGTCTGATAAGGTATTAACCCCCGAATATCTGGATTGGTATTCTAAATTAACTGATTTGCCAACCACTATATTTGATAAACTTTGTTCCAAGTTATATAAAATATATAAGAAAAAAACTGGGCTTGATCTCTGGATAATGTCTGAAACTCCCCAACCCCACAAATTGAAAAGACTGATAATTACTTTTCACAGGATTGTGTTATCAAGATTTCTAAGTTTCTATAAGAAAAAAGCACAATCCATGAAGCAGTACATAAATGTTTTCCTTTCTTATCATATACTAATTCAAATGCATAGCACCAGGATGTTTTTAAATATACTGATTCAGAAGCTAAATGCCCAGTATGCAAAGAGGTACATACACATTGAGGTATATGGGGCAATTGGCACTGTCTCAGATCAAAAGAAAGTTATAATTGCTATATAGAGCACACTAGAAATTCAAGTAAGTATACCAAACAAAACCTGTCTTTATCAGCCAGAGGCAGGTTTATGCCAATATGCCATCGAGCATAAAATAGATCCCAAGAAATTTTCAGTTATTACAGAAGCTGAGAAAAATAGGTGGACCATGAGATGTTTTTGTGGGGATTTGGAAAGAGACATACGCTTTTATTGCGGTGGAATAGAAAGTAAAGAAGACTCTAGAAAATATCGTGAATTTTAACAGATCAGGAGAGGCTGGTCGGTGAAGAGTTATTACGTCATAGTATGATAAAGAGCGGTTTAAGTACTGCATGGCTCGATAATCTTATGGAAGAATGAGAAAAAACTTATAATCAATTCATACAAATTTTTAGCCAGTTCTAGCCAAAAAATAAATCACATTTTGCTGTTATATTATAATTTCGATCATGGAAATAAAAGTACGTTTATAAATTTTTGTTTCATAACACATCATGGCTATACCTCTATTTATACACATTTAAATCTCGACTAATTTTTCTACCCATTCACACAATCATGATAAATAAAAAATAGAGCCCTCTTTATTTTACGCTATACAGAGTATAAGTCACTCCAAAAATAACATATTTTAAAATAATGGCACTTCGTACCTGGAACCTTGCTTTATTAATATAAAAACTTTACCAAAGTAAAGACATATAAAAAACAAAAAAAAATTTTTTTTCTATATCAATCAATCTCGCCCTGATCATATTTTTCCTGATCACTACAATCAGCATCACTAGCTCCAAAGTGTATATCATTGTTAAATAGGGGTCGGGGGAGTCTTCACGCTTATCTTCTATTTTATTAGAATAGTAGTCATATATTTCATTCGAAGGTTCCTGGGGGATATTGCCTAATTTATAAAATGGAAAACTTATTCCTGTTTCAGAAATATAATAAATAATCATGCAATACAAAGTTTACCTATAAGGTAAGTTTTCTCTTAGCTTGTTTTGAGGTTTAAACAAAGTTTGGGTATTACTTTTGCTGATCTTGGAGGCGTTACTTTTGCTGGTCTTGGAGGCGTTAGGTTTATTAGTCTTGGGAATGGTGATATTGTTAGTACTGCTCATTTTGTGCTAAAAATAAAAATTCATAAGTTTCATTTCCATAAACTTCATTAAGCAATAAAGAAACTTAGTGAGTTGTAGCTCCCACATAATAAACAAGACATTACCTTGAGAATAAATTGCAATTAAATTAAGTCAAAAAAATATGCAACTTATTACTACTTGCCTTATGAGCCAAAAATTACTTATTTTTATACTGTCCATTTGTCCAGAAAAAAATTCTGTAATTAGTAATTACGTTACCCTAACACAATGCCAAATCATACTTAGCAAAGCAAGTCCGCCTAGTTATAAGTTCCAAATACTAAATCTATTTCATCATTTTTTAGGTGAAATTAAACCCCCTTAGATTTGACGATCGCTACTACGAAGTAAAAAAAGTTGACGATCTGGGAATGGCGGAGATTCCAAGTCCTAGTAATATATGAATTTCTATAAAACTACTGATAAAGAAAGTTGTACTCTTCCCTATTATAGCCCTTTTAGACACAAAGTGTCCTGCTTCGCAGAGTTCCGCGCTTTTTCTTATCGCAGTATCATATATAATAAGAAAAGGCTTTCTAGATATTCATTATCAAAAATCGACCGTGAGAAATTAAGGTAACACCGCATAAAATTTAATGCAGGCCATTGATTATTAAAGCCGGTCAAGTTTTTATCGCACATTCGAATTGATAAACCTGATGTTAAATGATCGCAGAAAAGCGGACCTGTGGGACCGTTAAATCATATAATACTATGACACATAATAAATACTAGCGATGTGGTTATGTTAAAATAGTGCACATATGTGTTTACAAGTACATATTAAATTCTAGATAAC